TGTGTGTGTCCTGTGATGGACTGGTGTCCTGTCCAGAGTGTACCCTGCCTTGTGCCCGTTGCTTGCTGGGATAGACTCCTACTTCCCCTATGACCCAGTATAGAAGGAAGCAGTTAGAAAATGGATGGATGGCTATGTGCTGGGCTGACTAGGAACTAAACCCAAAAGCGTGCTGTACTTACGAGTATACACACTCCACCCTGAGTAAGACGTCAGTCGCTCAGAGCACAGTGTGAGCCCTGTGGGTCACAAGAGTCTAGTGTACTCCTGGACCACACTGTGGATGTGACCCAGGATACTGGAATCACATAAAAAAAACCCAGAAATAAAGTTGACATTCTGTACTTTCGCCTCATTAGAAATATACATTTCTATAGCGCCCAGCAAAAACGGCACATTTTACTTCACTAATACTAATACTTATGTGCTTTTAACCACATAAAATAAGTTGTTTTGTTTTTTTTTCAGCTGAAAGTCTTTAGATGTTTATAAATTACTGGGCGTCTAGGATCTATGTAGTATCCCGGCTGTGATGTCATAAGACTATTCCATCACAGCAGAATTTTCAAATGTTCTAAAAACAAGGTTTCCAAAGAAACGACTCTCTACATTCTAAAACGTTCTGCATTGCGTTTAGACTCAAACTCATCGGGATATTTTCAGCAACCAAACAGGACTTTGTCAGCAACCCTGACAGCAGAAAGAAATGGAGCCTTTCCTGCCTGCAACAGAAAGATATCTCATGAAACTGACATTTGACGCCAAGATCAATTCTCCTGGGACCGATCTTCCGGGTAATTATTCTCATAGGATGAGCATTTCAAAGCTTTTTTTTTTTTTAATTCTTAATTTTTTTAAATTATGATCCTATTTTTTTTATTTCTGAGCTGCACTTCACGTTGTTTGGTTAGGTTTTTCGGTGTCTTGAAGGGTCTTTTGGGTATTACGCAATGTACATATAGGATATCGCCAAACACATTCCATCATTTGTGCCCAGAATAAATAGAGCAAATCCAATGGACAGAAACAGTTAAAAACAAATCAAGTGGCACACTTTCAATCCCCTTGTCCTCCGCATGACTCTCTCAGTGCATCGACAGACAGAAAAGCTACATCTCTATCGAAATGTTGCAGAGGCCATTGAGGTCATCGTTCAGAGTAGAGAGATGGCATCCTTCTCCTTTCCTCATTTCTCTCAGACAGCACCTCAGTGACTTTTACAACCGTTTGGAGTTGTAATAAGTAAACAAAGGTGGAACCGTTTGAATACCTTGGAGTGTTCATGAGGAAATGAGGAAAACTGCTTTAAAGGGAATAATTGCGACGAGCTGAGCTTTCTCTGGAGCTGCGAGATTGAATTACTCATGATAACCAAGCGAGGCAGCAGGGTGGTGTCTGCACTGCTGCCTCGCAGGGCTGGGGCCCTGGGTTCAACTGCTGGGGTGCTGTCTGTGTGGAGTTTGC